AAGGAGAAGAGCAGAGCACAGGCAGAATGAGAGACCTTATCCAGAGAAGCAGCGACACCAGAGATGGAGGCAGAGATGGAGATATGGAGAGAGGGAGCAGCTGAGGATGCTAGACTCATGGGAAGAAAGGGAATAAGAGATGGCAGCCAGGAGCAGACTTGCAGAATGTGCCCTTTGGTGGTATAAATTATTACACATATTATATGCCTGAGTGTTTAAAAAAAAAAAAAAAAAAAGGTAAAGTGAATAGAGAGAAACACTGGTAACTGATGGTACATGGCGGGGCTTATAATCATTGTATGAAACCAGGTGTATGATTTCTTGAATGTAAAACTGATGATCTGCCCTGTAAACTTTTACTCAATCCACAGTAAAAACCTTAAAAAGCAAAACAAAACAAAAGCACCTAAAAATAAATAAAGTGAAGAGAACTTAAAAATACTACTGGTGAAGATCAAAGACCACAGCGTTCAGTATGGATTGCACCTCAAAGAAAAAACTCCTCACTCCTGGGCCAATAAATGATAAATGGAGAAAAGATTGAAGTTGTCAATGACTTCACTTTGCTTGGATTTACAATCAATTCTCATGGAAACAGCAGCCAAGAAATCAAAGGCTTGCATTGGGCAAATCTGCTGCAAAAGACCTCTTCAGTGTTCAAGAGCAATAAATACCAGGGATGGGTGATAAAAGAGCATTTTTGTTTGTTTCTCAAGTGAATGTGAAAACCACTTCACTAAGACACTTTCCCCTAGCCAATTGCCTGGTTTTGATTTGACAGGTTTCTCTTTCTTGCCTTTCAGACCTGTTTCTTGGTTGAACACTTTCACTGGTCAAGGAGTATTATTTTTCTCTAAAAAATTGTTTTACAAAAATTGAAACTAGGAACAAATTATCCATGTATGAAAGCTTTATTTATCCCATCTCAAGTTATTTTAAGATATGGTGCATTAGGATAAGCACTGGACCCATAACTGCAAGGTTGGTGATTCAAACTCACCAGCCACTCCTTGGAAACCCTATACAAGGTCACAATGAGTCAGAACTGACTTGAAAGAACACAAAACAAGCTATTTTAAAGCAAATCATTATTGAAAAAACTGATTTTGTACTGTAATGTTTCATAAAATCTAAATGTTGCTTATTATATACTATTGGTGGTATTTGGCATGTTCCTCTGCCTCTTTTATGTAAATTCATTGTTAGATCTAGAAGCTTGATCAGAGGTTTGTTTTTGTGTGGTCTATGAAACCGAAAGTATATATTGTCTATTTTTTCATGTTTTTTTGGGGGGTGGGGGGCTACTTCATATGCAATTCATGGGTATATAATATTTGATCATCTCTTTTTCTCTTATATTACCAGTCAATGATGACTAATAGCTTCATCCAATAATTCCTTAGGCATTGTAACTGTGGTACAACTGGTCTCCTTTTTTTGTGGCCTTTCTGGCCATGGGTTTGCAATTCTCCTAAAATGATTAATCAGGCTGCAATCTGCCAAGTGATAGGTCTGCTTGCCATCCAAGTGACTTGTAATAGTTGGTCAATTTGCTATCTACATAAGCAGACTTGCAAGGGTTGGTCAGTTTGTTACCTGCAGTTTGCAGGAATTGGTTAAGCTATTAACTTAAGTGACTTGCAGTTCACCCAATAAAATTAATCAGTTTAGATATGCTAGGAAAGCCATACCTTGAAATTGATAAGGAGTTTTCCTATGTAAGTGGCCAATCTCTTAGAAGTCTCCTGGAGCCTCCTGATCAAGAACCTAAAGAAATACACATCCTATGGACCTGGGTCCCCTATGCTGAGAATCTCCTAAACTCCTAAATAAAAGAGCTGTTGTTGTTGTTGCTCCTGTTAGGTGCCATTGAGTTGGTTCTGACTCACAGTGACCCTATACGCAATAGATCAAAACATTTCCGTGTCTTGCACCATCCTCACGATTGTTATATTTGAACCCATTGTTGCTGCCACTATGTTAATCCATCTTATTAGGGGTCCTCTTCTTCCCTGATCTTCCGCTTTTCCAAGCATGATGTCCTTCTCCAGGGACTGGTCCCTCCTGACAATATATCCAAAGTAAGAGAGACCAAGTTTTACCATCCTTACTTCTAAGAAGCATTCTGGCTGTATTTTTTCCAAGACAGATTGGTTTGTTCTTCTGGCAGTCATGGAACTTTCAATATCCTTTTCCAACACCATAATTCAAATGCATTGATTTTTCTCTGGTCTTTGTTATTCACTGTCCAACTTTCACATGTATATGAGGTGATGAAAAATACCATGGCTTGGGTCAGATACACCTTAGTCGTCTTTGCTCATGAACACCCTGAAGAGTTCTTTTGCAGCAGATTATGAATCCAAGCAAATTGAAGTCTTTGACATCTTCAGTATTTTTTCAGGTGTTATTTATTGGTCCAGTTGTGAGGATTTTTGTTTCCTTTACACTGAGGTACAATACACACTGAAGACTGTCTTTGAGCTTCCTATTTCAAGTTCTTTTTGCTTTTAGCAAGCAAGGTGGTTTCATCTGCATATCGCAGGTTGTTAATGAGTTTTCCTCCAATCCTGATCCCATGTTCTTCATCATATAATTCAGTCTAGGATTATCTACTCAGCATACAGATTGAATAAGTATGGTAAATGTATGCAATCTTACTGCACACCTTTTCAGAATTTAAGCCATTTAGTATCCATTTGTTCTGTTTGAACAACTAACTCTTAGTCTATATACAGGTTCCTCCTGCACACAATTAAGTGTTCTGGAACCCCTGTTCTTCACAGTGTTACTCATAGTTTAGGACCATATAGTTGAATGGCTTTACATTGTCAATAAAGTACAAGTAAGCATCCTCTGGTAAAAGAGATGTAATAATGGCCTAAGGCTGTAATATGAGCTGATAACACTGAAGACCAAGAGACATGGCAACAAAGACAGCAGATCTGAGAGGCAGAGAAACAACATGTGTGCTACAAGCAGCAGAACACATGAGGCCAGTAGACACCGTCTCTAAAATAGTGAAGGCATTTGGGAAATGTTGAATGGATGAATGAAAGAAGGGTCACCAGGTGATTGTTGTTGTTAAAGTGCCATCAAGTCGGTTCTGAGTCATAGAGTTTCTGAAGAGCAGCTTGTGAGTTTGAATTGCAGAACTTGTGGTTAGCAGTCCATTGCTGACCCTGAAGTGCTACTCGAGCTGACATGACAGGACAGTGTTGCCCATTCCATCATAATTCATCGTAGCCTTTGCTTATAAGCAAAGTAGGTTAAGCATTTTTAAATTAAATGATCTGATTTTAAAGTAAAATGGAGTCCATTATTTGTTGATATAGCAGATAATGTGACATAGCATATAATTTCAGGAGCTGTTTGCTATTTATACACAGAGGAATGACTGAATTGGACATTGTAATCAAATATTTTATATTTAAAATCTGATGGCAGTTTCTTTTCCAAATGCTTCATCTTTTTTCTCACTTTTTAGGTTCAGGGATTTAGGGAATATCAGCTATCCTAATTTATCTTTCCAATCTGCATTTCAAACCCTTTTATGTACTTCCTTAACTTACTATATTACTTTAATTTCTTAAATTAAAAGCTCATTGACAATCAGAACTCAACTTGTTGTTGTTAAGTGCTGTCGAGTTGATTCTTACCCATAGTGACCCTGTATAGGGTTTCCGAGGCTGTAAATCTTTACAAGAACAGAAAGCCTCATCTTTCTCCTGCAGAACAGCTGGTAGTTTCGAACTGCTGACCTTGAGATAGCAGCCCAATTAGTAACTATTACACTACCAGAGCTCCTTAGAACTCAACTAGAGGAAGATAAAAAAAAAAAAAAATTTTGAAAAAGGAAGTGAAGGTAAATTGCTACAGTGTGATGAATTTGACCCATATTCGTGGAGGTAGTAGCTCAAAATACCAACAGAGAGGGAAGGAGTCTTCTCTTCAAGTATCAATGCTATCCCCTCTGTATACAAGGTAGATAGGGATGGGCAACTTAGACATTGGCTACCTAAAATGAGAGGCCGATAAAGGCATGAAGTGACTGGCTTACAAGTTTTCAAGAGGGAGTTTAGTTTAAGAGTGTATGGGGGACGATAGAGTCCCCACTGAATAGTTTTCATCTTGTCTACATAGGTCTGATAAAAAGAGATGGGGATAAGATTCTTATGATTAATTGTTGTTGTTGTTAAGTGCCGTTGAGTCGGTTCCGACCCATAGCGACCCTGTAACAGGGTTTCCGAGGGTGTAAATCTTTACGGGAGTAGAAAGCCTCATCTTTCTCCCGCTGAGCGGCTGGTAGTTTCGTACCGCTGACCTTAAGGTTCGCAGCCCGATTCGTAACCACTACACTATATTACCATGACTAATTGTGACTGTCACAATTGTAAAGGTAGATGTTTTGCAACAGAAATGGGGAAGTAGTTAATCTTACAATCCAGAAACAGAGGATCCTAGATGCATCAAGGGAAAAGAGCACAAGCTGAATGCAGGACCTTATCCAGAGAAGCAGTGATACTAGAGATGGAGGTAGAGATGGGGACATGGAGAGAGGGAGCAGCTGAGAACTCTAGATTAATGGAAAGAGAGGGGCAAAGAGCTGGCAGCCAGGAGGCAGACTTGCAGAATGTGCCCTCTGGTGGTGTAAATTATTATATATATACCTGAATGTGAAAAAAAAAAAAAAGTGCTAAAATGAATAGAGAGAAATACTGTTAACTGATGGTACATGGAGGGGATTATAATCATTGTAATGAAACAAAGTATATAATTTGTTGAATGTAAAACTGATGATGTATGCTATAAACTTTCACTCAATTCATAATAGAAACTTTAAAAAAAAATTAAAAGCTTAACTCAATTTTACCCAAGGACTAAGCATAAAAGAAGTGGTTCCCAAGATTACATAGAAGCCTTTTTCTCATCGAATGTCCTGAAAAATATTTTCAGTTCTTGGAAACTAACTAACGCACTGTTTGATTTATCCATTCAAGGCATGCTGCTTGCTGGATTTCTCATCAGAAATATTCCAGTCATCAGTGATAATGTGCAGATCAAACACAAATGGTCTTCCTCTTTGAGAAGTGTAGCCCTATCTATCATATTGGTTCGTGCTGGCCTTGGACTGGATTCAAAGGTATGAACTGGGGATTTCTAATTACTGAGTAGGAACTTTACTCCTCCATACTGCAAGTATTTAGAATCACTTAGCTTCATAAAATGGATGTGGACACTGTGCATGGCAATCCGAAGAAGGGAAAAGCATTTATTTCATTCATTGTATAGGTAGGGCCATCTCCTTCAGAAGACCTCAGAAAATGTTCCCATACTTTCTTGGAGAAAGGTGAAGTGGGGACAGCACCAAGAATAAAAAAAATGTTCCCTTTTTCTCTGATGTTGTTGTTTTTGTTAAGTTCTATGGAGTCGGTTCCAACTCACAGTGACTCTGAACAGGGTTTACGAGGCTGTAAATCTTTACAGGAGCAGAAAACCTCATCTTTCTCCCATGGAATGGCTGGTAGTTTCGAACTGCCAATCTTGAAGTTAGCAGCTCGATTCATAACCACTATAGAGAAACGTTACTATTAAGTGTCGTGGAGATGGTTTCCACCCATAGCGACCCTATATAGGGTTTCCAAGGAGCAACTAGTGAGCTTGAACCACCGACCTTGTTTCAAACCGACTTTGCAATATAGCGCATTAACAGCACCACCACAGAACTCCGACAGAGATCTAGGCCATAGTTACAAATTGTTGTCCATGAAGGAGAAGACCTTTTTGTAGTACAGAGTCCTATATACATGCTTAGGGCTAACTATACTGGCTCAGGAATCTTCCTAGCGTATAACATGAGACTTATGGTTTTTGTTGTGTTTTCCATGTGTTTTTGAATGCAGGGATAAGTGTTCTTGAGGGATGGCATGAATCAAATGAGACGTTTCACCTTAGTTATTCTGGGGCCACAGGTTGTAAATCAAGATAGTACTGAGAGGGTTAAATCAGCTAGTACAGGGATGATAAATGCAGACTCTGTAGACTGCCTGCTTGGATTCCAAAACCTTTTCACACTACTTACCAGATTCATGATTTTGAGCAAATTAAATTAGGCCTTTTTATAAGAGGACAATTACACATTGGGGTAATAATTGTACTATCTATCTCATACCTGGTGTGGCACTGTGGGTTAATGTGCTGGACTGTAGTCAGTTTGAACCACAAGATCAGCTGTTAAAGCTCACCAGCAGTCCCTCGGAAACCCTATACAGGTTTGCTATGGGTTGGAACCCACTCGACCTCATTTAACAACAACAACAACATCTCATGGTGTGGATGAGATCTAAATAACCTCTAACCACTTGGTGGTGGTGGTGGTTATGTGCTGTGGAGTCGGTTCTGACTCATAGCAACCCTGTACAGGGTTTCCGAGGCTGTAAATCTTTACAGGAGCAGAAAGCCTCATCTTTCTCCTGCAGAACAGTTGGTAGTTCCGAAATGCTGACCTTGTGGTTCACAGCCCAATTGGTAACCACTATGCTACCAGAGCAACTTTCTAAACACTTGTTGTTGTTGTTATGTGCTGTGGAGTCGGTTCCGACTCATAGTGACCCTGTACAGGGTTTCCGAGGCTGTAAATCTTTACAGGAGCAGAAAGCCTCACCTTTCTCAACTGCTAGAGCACTGAAATGTATGTTAAATAAAACTCGTTACTTGGAAGATCTATGTTGACCTATGTTGTTGTTGTTACGTGCCGTTGAATTGATTCCAACTCATAGAGACCCTGTATAGGGTTTCTGAGGAGCAGCTGGTGGGTTTGAACTGCCAACCTTGTGGTTCACAGTCCAATGCTGATCCTACAGTGCCACACCAGAAGCGTCATAAGGTCATCTCATATCTGAAGCTCATCTTCTGTACATGTCTTCAGAAAGCTATATTAGTATATCTATTTTTATATTTCAGGCTCTGAAGAAGTTGAAGGGTGTTTGCGTGAGACTATCCATGGGTCCTTGTCTTGTAGAAGCATGCACATCTGCTCTTCTTGCCCACTTCCTAATGGGTTTACCATGGCAATGGGGATTCATACTGGGGTAATGATTTTTCTTTGTCTATATAAAAACATGCACAAACTTTAGAGTCTTCTATAATTTCATAAAAGAGAATAATAGCATCTACTGTGGTGCTGTAGGATCAGCACTGGACTGTGAACCACAAGGTTGGCAGTTCAATCCCACCAGCTGCTCCTTGGAAACCCTATACAGGGTCACTATGAGTCAGAACCAACTTGATGGCACTTAACAACAACAACAACTAGGACATCAGAAAATGCAACATAAAAACCCAGCACTGTCTAAATACCTGAACTTTCAAATATGAGGAGGCTTCAAAAAACTTACGGAAAAATTCCGTTCTCTTTCAGTTTCAGTTTTCCATAAACTTTTTGAAGCCCCCTGGTATATGCTTCTACAGGTGCTAACTGTTACAGTGATTATAATAATTTAAACTAATTGAAAGAAGTAATGGTCCTTTGCCTACCCCTGGTTCCTTGAGGGTGAGAGAGATGCAGAATCGCTCACTAAAGTCTTTACAAAGTGTATACAAAATAAATACATCAACACCTAGGACTGTTTTCCTCCTTCCTCATCACCAGAGTGTTATGAGTTGGTGGTTCTAATGTCTCTTCTTTCTGTTGACCAGTTTTTATTTCTCATGATTAAGAACCATAAAAAGAAAATAAATAAGAAAGTAGTTAGTATTTCATACCACAAGTAGGTAAGAGGAATTCCTCGTTGGTTAAACAATTAAGCTTAGCTCCTCTCTGAAAGATTGGAGGTTTCAGTCTGCCCAGAGATACCTCAAAAGAAAGGCCTAATTATCTACTTTTTAAAAATTGTTGTTGTTGTTGAGTGCCATCGAGTCGGATCCGACCCATAGCGACCCTGTACAGGGTTTCCGAGGCTGTAAATCTTTACGGGAGCAGAACGCCTCATCTTTCTCCCGCGGAGCGGCTGGTAGTTTCGAACTGCTGGCCTTAAGGTTCACAGTCCGATTCGTAACCACTACGCTACCAGAGCCCTCTATTGAAAATCCCGTGGAACATAGTTCTACTCTGACATGCAAGGGATCACCATGAGTTGGAATCGACTCTACAGCAACTAGTTTAGATTAACTAATGAAAAGTAAGGTAGTTTTACTTGGCATTCTTGGTTAAGACTCTGGACCTATATTCCCTGTGTTCAAATCCTAGCTCTACAATTTTCTAGCACAGGACTGTTGGCAAATAAATTAATCTCTCTGAGCCTCAATTTTGTTTGTAAAATGAAGATTATGATTGGATCTACCTCATAGGGTTGTTATGAGAATTAGTTACTGTACATAAAATGCTTAAAATAATATTTGGCATATAAAATACTCCTTGCTGTTACTACTGCTGCTGTTGTTACTGTCAACATTGTCACTGTCATGGCCTTCTCCTACTAGTCTGTTGTCTTATTTTACACACCAAATCCTGATAATGTCATTGGCTTCAATCCAAAATATATGTAGCAGTGTTTTTTAAACTTCCTAACATGGATGTTTTGTTTATGAAAAATGCAGATTTCAGGGACCTAGCCCCATTAGGTCTTCTATTTGCCAATTGTTGTTGAGTTGATTCTAACTTAGAGCAAGTCCATGTGTCTCACAATAGAACTGTGCTCTATAGAGTTTTTAGCAGCTGATTTTTCAGAAGTAGGTCCCCAAGTCTTCTTCTAAGGTGACTCTGGGTAGACCTGACCTTCTAAGCTTTAAGCTTTAGGTTGGCAGCTGAACACATTAGCCATTAGCACCCAGAGGCAGATCTTTTGTAAACCAAACAACCAAACCCATTGTACTGCTTGAGCAGGATACTGCAGTCCCTATTTCTTTAGATAGGAATTTCCATGTCACTCCTGTTCTTCCTTCTTCATGGTCCTGGGATCTTCCATCTCTGCTCTGAGATGGCGCCTTTTAAGCCTAGCTGTGTATATCTTATTTGCATGATCCCACCCAATCACTTGGTGGTAATTAAAAGGCTTTAGATAGAAAAACAACATCAAGTAAATTCAAGGCATCACAATAGCAAAGGCTGTTCTATGAGAATTTCCTTGAGAAACCTTACCTTATCCACCCTACAGCTCTATCTTGCTCCTTCAGACTTCTTTATGGTCCCAAAACTAAAAGAAAAAGAAAAAGAAAAACATTTAAAGGAGCATGATTTGAGTTCCTCAAGATTGCTCAACCTGCCACTTTGACAGGGTGTAAATTAAAATGTGCAAAATTCTTCAGAGAAAGATTGTTGTTGCTAAGTGTCATCGAGTTGGTTTTGACACATAACAACCTTGTATAGGGTTTCCGAGGAGTGGTTAGTGAGTTTGAATCACCAAACTTGTAGTTCAAATTGACTTTGTGATTGAGTGTTTATCCTACAGAGCCACACCAGGATTCCAGAGAAGGGTTAGAGTGATGGAGATGCCACTCTCAGATGTGTATGCACCTAAATAGAGGATATGTTAAGAAATAGTAGCTTCACATTTTTATATTTTTGTTTAATAAAGATTTCTATGATTTTGTAGCAATACTTTTTTACTTACTCTCATAAATACAAGGGGCTTCAAATTGTTTGTGGAAAATAGAATTGAAAGATAAGGAAATTTTTACTTGTTACTTTTTGAAACCCCCTTGTTTGTATGTATGTTGTTGTTATTAAGTGCCTTTGAGTCAGTTCCTACTCATAGCGACACTGTGTGGTTTCCAAGAAGCGGCCAGTGAATTTGAACCTCCAACCTTGCAGTTCAAACTGACCTTGAGATTCAGTGTATTATTAAGATGCTATCATAAACGTCTGAAGTGTTGCCTGCTTAGTTTTGTTTTAGGTGCTGTGTCTCCAGCCGTTGTGGTGCCTTCAATGCTCCTTCTGCAGGGAGGAGGCTATGGTGTTGAAAAAGGTGTCCCGACCTTACTCATGGCTGCTGGCAGCTTCGATGACATTCTAGCCATCACTGGCTTCAACACATGCTTAGGCATGGCATTTTCCACAGGTAAACTAGTCAATGCACAACATACTGTTCACTATACTCTAGCAACATAGATTAAAATGTTATAAGCATGGCCTATTGCTTGATAATTTAGGCAAAATAAAAATGGAGAAAACAGCTCCAAGAGTTCTGTAGCTGGTGGGGACCAGTACATACCTAGCCTACTCCCTCCTATGTGTAGACTGCACAAGAGTATGCAGTAGTGCAATTAGCAGAGATATAAGGTAGTAAGGTTTAAAGAAGGAAGAGAACAGTTGATTCCAATCCATGGCAATACCTTGAATGTCAAAGTAGAATGGTGCTCCCTAGAGTTCCTATTGATTGATTTTTTCAGAAGTAGATCAGTAGGCTGTTCTTATGAAGCCCCTCTAGGTGTACTTGAAGTTCCAACTTTTCTGTTAGCAACCAAGCACATTAATCCTTTACACCACCCAGGGACTTCCTTAGACCACTTCTATCAGAAACCAGTAAAGTTGAGATTAAGAACTGCTGTTTAAGAGAACTAGAGTTTGTATTAGAATCACAGTAGGTGGAAGATGAGAGAGATGGGCAGAGAGGAAGGTCAGGGTTGGGAATTTTTATAATCTAGAGTTGTAGGGAAGAAGAGAAATTTATATAGTTTGAAGAACCTTCGTAACTGACTCTGATATAATCCCTCTTTCCCCATCCCATTCCTTCCCAATGGGATCCATAGACCTTCTGGATCAGGACAACATAGATATCTCTTTAACATGTGGACCCCAGGCCCTGCTAGACTTACTGAATTGGAATTTTCAGTTCTTCTAGGGAAGGAACCCAAGAAGTGTTTTTTCATTTTTTTTTTAAAGCAACTTTAATATACCAGGGAATGAAAAGAATTTCCTACTTCCTGCACAGTTATAGTAAATTATTTATTATAATACCTTAAGAGTAGTGCTAATAAAATAGATACTTTTAACAGTTACACCATTACCTGGTAGAGAATTGTCCTAGCTAAATAAAAATTTCTTAAAGTAAGTAAATGAGATAATTGTTACAATAACAAGAAACCACAATAAATAGTTGCTGAGCACATTTTTTCCTTGTGTAAACAAGGACTTTATTTGTTGAGTCATGTTAATATAATTTTATGTACCATATAAGGCTAACCCAAAGGTTGGTGGTTTCCAACTAGCCATTTCTTGGTGGTGGTGGTAGTGGTAGTGGTTATGTGCCGTGGAGTTGGTTCTGACTCATAGTGACCCTGTACAGGGTTTCCAAGGCTGTAAATCTTTACAGGAGCAGAAAGCCTCATCTTTCTCCCACTTGGAAACCCTATATAGGGTTGCTTTGAATCAGAACCAACTCAGCAACACTTAACATTCTAACTAAAATTTTCTTTTAGCATTTCCTAAATCCTGTATGCTATGGAGAAAAATATAAGTTATAGTTAGAAAAAAATGTATCTAGTAAGAAGTACTCATACAACCTGAATGCAAAATTCTTAGAAGTAAGGATGACAAAACTTCTCTCACATACTCTGTACGTATTATCAGAAGGGGAAAGTCTCTGGACAAGGACATTATAGTTGGAAGAGGGTCAGTAGAAAAGAGGAAGACCCTCAATGAGATGGATTGACACAGTAGCTTCATCCATAGGCTCAAGCACAACAAAGAGTGTGGGTGGTGGAGGACCAGGTAGTGTTTCCCTCTGCTATATATAAAGTCACTATGAGCCGGAACAACTGACAGCACTTAACAACAACAAGCTTACCTTTATATTTCAAAGAAGTTAATCAACAAGGAAAAAGCTCTTCTAAGAGCAATCTCAAAAATAATTTGTTTTCAGACTTATTTTTAGAGTAAGCTTTTGAAAAGGAATGAGTCTACCAGCCACTCCACGGGAGAAAGATGAGGCTTTCTACTCCTGTAAAGATTTACACCCTTGGAAACCCTGTACAGGGTCGCTATGGGTTGGAACCAACTCGATGGCACTTAACAACAACAACAACAACAACAACAAGTCCCTTGTAGTCATTGGTGGTGATGATGGTTATGTGCCATGGAGTCAGTTCCGACTCATAGTGACCCTTACAGGGTTTCCAAGGCTGTAAATCTTTATGGGAGCAGAAAGCCTCATCTTTCTCCCACAGAACAGCTGGTAGTTTCGAACTGCTAACCTAGCAGTTCGCAGCCCGATTCATAACCACTACACTACCAGAGCTCCTTTACTTATTGCACACTAGGAAATGTTTTTCATTTTATTTCCAAAAAATTAGATTTCTGTATTCTGTATGTCAAAGATATTAAAATCGATTCTCATTTATTATTTAAATTCAGGCCTTTAAATGATAAATTGAAAGCTTAAGTAGCTCTATCTAACTCACTCAACCTATTCATGTAATGTTATTGTTGTTGTTAAGTGCCATCGAGTCGGGTCTGACCCATAGCGACCCTGTACAGGGTTTCCGAAGGTGTAAATCTTTACGGGAGTAGAAAGCCTCATCTTTCTCCCGCGGAGCAGCTGGTAGTTTCGAACCGCTGACCTTAAGGTTCGCAGCCCGATTCGTAACCACTACGCTACCAGAGCTCCTTCTTCATGTAATGTAGTAGAACAAATTAGCACTTAATTATGAATTTTGTCTCTTGCATTTTCTATTACACTTTTATTGAAGTAAACACATAAAAATCTGTATAAGTCTTATCTTAGCCTGTTTTAAAATTTGTCTCCAATTACATACATAGCTTTCTCATTAGATAAGAACCAAATCTTATAAGACAAAGGCAAAACCAAATCCACTGCCATCCAGTAGATGCTGACTCATAGCAACCCTGTATAGGTTATCTGAGGGTGTAAATCTTTAAGGGAGCAGAGAGCCTCATCTTTCTCAACCTTACAAGATGTTGTTTTTGTTAAGTGCCCTCGAGTCTATTCTGACTCATAACAACCCGTATAGGGTTTCCAAAGTGGTAAGTTTGTTAAAGAGCAGAAAGCCTCATCTTTCTCCCACAAAGTGGCTGGTGAGCTTAAACCGCCGATCTTGTGGTTCGAAGTCCAGTACTTATCCTACAAAGCCACTGCACTCTACCTTATAAAATAGGGTCTTTTTATTAAACATTCTGAGTCACATATTTTAAGAATGTAGAGGGTCTGCAAACTTGCTAACATGTAATTAGGTGCTTTATTTAGATCACTGTAGAAATAAAGTTTATGCATTCATGTCTGAGGGTTTTGTTGTGTGCTTTTCAGGCTCCACAATTTTTAATGTTTTCAGAGGAATTTTGGAGGTGGTAATCGGTGTGGCAACTGGATCTCTTCTTGGATTTTTTATTCAGTACTTTCCAAGCAGTGACCAGGTAAAAGAAATTTCATGTTCTAAAATGCTATTAAAAACACTCTGGAACACTCCCATAGAAACCAAATGTGAAGGACATGATTTAGCAAATAGCTCTCCTAGCTTAAAATAGCTTATTGCTATATCAGTGCCATATATGAGATTTATAACGAAGATGAAATACAAGTTATTTAATGCTGTCGAAACATTTTTTCTCTAATTTATATTCTGTACACTTTAAATTTTAAAATAAATAGCATCAATTAAGAAAAATAAGGTAACCAATTTTCTTTTTTATTATCTTCACCTAAACCAAGCCAATATAATGGAGGGTTTTATTAAGGGGGAGAGGGGATGTCCCTTTTGTTATATCAAAATACCTTAGCTTCTAATACTGTCAAATATTGTTAAATATCATTGAGTCAGTTCTGACTCATAGCAACCCTATATAGAGTTTCCAAGGAGTAGCTGGAGAGTTAGAACCACTGACCTTGTGGTTCACGGTGCAATACTTTTCCTACAACACCACACCAGGAGTAGATGGCCTTTAACATTTCACTGTTACATAGTCCAATATTCCTTGCCAAGAAGCTCAAAGTTGTTCATTGCACTAAATGATTTCTGAGTGAGACACAAAGGTTTTGACTATTTCTTTTATTCTCCTAATTCATTTAGGATAAACAATTAGAAATCTTTCTTTCTATAAAAATGGGCATTTTCAGATTTCAGTGCATTTTGAATGGAGTTCATTAATATTTTAATTAAACTAGAATTTTAAATTATTATTTCCATTACCAGAATATGTCGATTTGAATTTTTTGTGCTGTTACTCCAAAAAACTCCAGAATTATCTGCAGAAGATTATATGAATGAATGATACATATATTATTATTTTAATTATACAGTAAAATAAAGAGAATAACTTAATTAATATTTTTATTATTTATAAAAAAGTGTCTTACTTTTTTTTGCCTATAGTGTATAAAATTTGTGGTAAGTACTTTTAAAGTGATAATGTAGTGCTATACTGTCCAATATTGGAGCTGTTAACTTGGTATATGTCCAATATTGGAGCTCTTAACTTGTTATGACACTGGAGGATAAGTATGGACTGCTAACTGCAAGGTTGGCAGTTCAAACCCACCAGCCACTCTTCAGAAACCGTATGCAGGTCACTATGAGTTAGAATCTACTCAATAGCATTTAATAACAACAACAACTACATGTGTTACTGTGAGTTAGATATTGAACTGCAAGGTAAAAAGTTCAAATTCACCAGCTGCTCCTCAAGAGAAAGATGAGACTATCCGTTCTCATAAAGGTTTAGTTTTGGAAAGCCTGTATCGGTTCATTATGAGCCAGAATTAAACCAATAGCTGTAGGATTTTTTTGTTTTTTGTCTTTTTGAGGTGTAGAGTCACATGTGGAGTCCTGGTGTGATGCTGTAGGATAAGCACTGGACTGCTAATTGCAAGGTCAGTGGTTCAAACCCACCAGCCACTCCTCAGAAACTCTATACAAGGTCACTGTGAGTCAGAACTGACTTGACAGCATTTAACAAAAAGAAGCTACATGTAGGTTTTTAAATTTTAAATTCAGTTCCTCATCATAAATTCTAAGAAATTGTTCTAATAACAGGAATTATCACACAATTTAACCTTTCAAGATTTGCTCATTGATCTATCATTATGACTTTTCTTAGTGAAAACAAAGAAACTAATGCAACCTCAAAAGCACTCTACCCTTGACTCATGGAGTAAGAATTGAACACCTTTACACTGAGGCTTATAGCAGAATGGAGTGCCTTTAGGGCATTTATCAGCAGTGCTAACAGAGCTTTGTAACATTACTGGAGCAGATCAGAGACCAAGGCGCTGAGAAGCTGAGTGCCAGAGAGAGGTCTGACTGCAGGCATGATTGGGAAGAGGCAGTCCTGGCTGAAATAATTGTGCCCTGAGCATTTCTAATGCTAGATTGTAACTTGCTAACTTTCCTATTAAACCCCATAATGGTGTGTGGCTGGGGGTGGGCACAGATAGTACTCTACCCTGAAAACCATGTTCATACTAGTTTATTACCTAATTTCTCAATATTGTTGTTTTCTTAAGTACTGTTGAGTCTATTCCAACCCATAGCAACCCTGTATAGGGTTTCTAAGGAGCAACTGGTGAGCTTGAAGCACCAACCTTGCGATTCAAACTGACTTTGCAGTCCAGCACATTAACCCACAGCGCCACACCAGGACTCAATATTAAGAAAGTTAAAATATGTTGCTTCAAATGAATGTTTTCGTATCCAAACTCTAAAGTCTCCTAATTTTTTCTTTAATATTAATTATACATACAGTTATGGACTCCTGGTGTGGTGCTGTAGGATCAGCACTGGATGCGAACCACAAAATCAGCAGTTCAAACCCACCAGCTGCTACTCAGAAACCCTACACAGGGTTGCTATGATTCGAAATCGACTCTATGGCACTTAACAACAACAATTTGAGAGTAATGCACTGCTATTCATAAGATTTTCAGTGGCTAGACATTGAGAAGTAGTCTGATCTCCTTCTCCAAGGCTGTCTTTAGTCTGGAAGCTCAGCTGAAATCTGTCCACCATGAGTGACCATGCCAACACATTCAAAATATCATAGCTTCCAACATCCCAGTAAATTGTAAGCCACCAGTGTCACAAACTGACAGATGAGTGGTGGAGTGTTGACATAGTGCAACTCATGTAATAACTGATAGGGAAGGGATTATTAATTTTACTGATGCAGAAATTGAGGGGATTACTTGAACAGATCACATTGCTAGAAAATGTTTTAGTCAGCCTAGGATTGAACACAGGTCATCCAATTCCAGAGTATGCATGTTTCCAAGTCAAGCACTTTTGAAAATCTACATTCTAATATGATCAAGATATTTAGAAGACTGAATGGAGGGAAAGCAGAGAGAGAAGTCACAGTGGGATGCTTCAAAACAAACAAATAAACAAACAAACAAACTTCTTTTAATCTATTTTTTAAAAAAAACATTAACCCACCGCCTTTGAGTTGATTCTGACTCAGCAACCAGTCTTTACAAGAGCAGAAAGCCTCATCTTTCTTCTGCAGAGTGGCTGGTGGGTGTGAACTACTGACCTTACAGTTAGCAATAGTTAGGAAGCTACAGCTTCCTAAAACTTCTTGCCACTCAAGATTTTTGAACCAAAATTTAAGGAGTGCCAGATTAAAGAGTAAACAGAGACCCTGAAGATAATAAAGATACTATATCTTTAATATTCGCAAAACTCCTGTGATGTAACTGCATTTATGCCAATTTCATGAATGAGTAAACAAAGCTTGCAGAGGTTAAGTAATGGATCCACTACCTGAGCACCAATAACATAAAAGAACTAGAATTGTAACCCAGGTCTGTCTGCATCCAAAACCCTTTTATTTTTTTCTACTACTCCATTCAATTATGCCTTGATAACTACTGTTGGTTTTGTTAGCCAGCATCTTCAACTCACGGCAACCCCATGCACAACAGAACAAAACACTTCCCTGGATTTTCACTGGTTGATTTTTGAAAGTAAATCACCAGGCCTTTTCTTCTTAGTTCATCTTAATCTGGTGCACTGAAACCTGTTTGGCATTATAACAACACAAGGAAGATAACTGTTGTCCTTGAAAGAACCTACATTTGTGTATGCATTAACTCTATCTATGCTAAAGTAAAGAAAGTAAATGTCGTGCATTTATGTGAGCATACCCAGGAGTTTTTATTTTCCTATAAATTTCATGTTATAGGGAAATCAGGAATTTAAAGACAGTTATTGGAAATAATTTTGCTAATTAATATCTTTCCTCCTAAAGGTCAGTCTTGTGTGGAAGAGAGCATTCTTTGTTTTGGGGTTCTCTGTGCTAGCTGTTTTCAGCAGCATGTATTTTGGTTTCCCTGGATCTGGAGGACTGTGCACATTGGTCATGGCCTTCCTTGCAGGCATAGGATGGACAAACAAAAAGGTGATTTTCATTTTAAGCCCTATTAACATGTACTTCATAATCATGTTAATTCCCTTTTCTTTCCAGGTATCTTTTTAACATCAAGCTATTTTTTTAAATTTTTTAATGTAAAACGTTTTTACATCAAATAAGTAACTGCAAAGTCAGTTTGAGCCACAAGGTCAAGGGTTCAAACCCACCAGTTACTCCTTGAAAATGCTATACAGGGTCATTATGAGTCGGAACCAACTCAACTGCACTTAACAACAACAACATTTTTTATCATAAAAGCTATTTATATGCTTATACAAATGTACAGTGCACACACACACACACAAATAATGTTTTACCCCTCACATACCAATTTATAATTTGATGTCTTTAATATTTATCTTGGTCATATTTACATTATGCCTTCTTTCTTTTTTTGTAATGCTGACAAATAATTGCATTTTATAGCTATGTTGTTATTGTTTTGATTGATTCTGATTCATAGCTAGTCTGTAGTGCCCTATAGGATGGAGTAGAACTACCTCATAGAGTTTACTAGGCTGTAATGTTTATGAGGAAAAAGCCCCGAAGGCACTAGCCTGCTAACACAAAGGTTGGTGGTTCAAACCCACACAGCTGTCCCGCAGGAAAAAGACCTGGCAATCTGCTTCCATAAAATTAAAACAATACAAAACCTATTGCCAAAGAGTCAATTAAGACTCATAGTGACCCTATGCTGCTGCTGTGAAGTGTCGTCGAGTCAGTTCTGACCCATAGCGACCTTGTATAGGGTTTCTGAGGAGTAGCTGGTGAGTTTGAACCGCCGACCTTGCAGTTCAAACAGCTTTTCAGTCTGGTGCATTAACCCATAGCACCACACTAGGACTCCAGTGACCCTATTTGTTGTTAAGTGCCGTCGAGTCAGTTCTGACCCATAGCGACCCTGTACAGGGTTTCCGAGGGTGTAAATCTTTACGGGAGTAGAAAGCCTCATCTTTCTCCCGCGGAGCGGCTGGTAGTTTCAAACTGCTGACCTTAAGGTTCGTAGCCCGATTCGTAACCACTACGCTACCAGAGCTCCTTAGGACAGAGTAAAAACATCCCATAGGGTTTCCAAGGCTGTAATCTTTAAGGAAGCAGACTGCTACATCTTTCTTCTGTGGACTAGCTGGTGGGTTCTAACCGCAGACCTTTTGGTTGTTGTTGTTAAGTGCCATCATCGAGTCAGTTCCAACTCATAGCAACCTTGTATAGGATTTCTGAAACTGTAAATCTTTGAAGAAGCAGAAAGCCTTATCTTTCTCCCATGGGGCAACTGGTGTGCTCCAACTACTGACTTGTGATTCTCAGTTCAGTGCTTATCCTACAGAGGCACTATGCAACCCCAACCTTTTGGGGTTTTGTTAACTACCGTCAACTTGGTTCCAACTCATAGTGACCCTATATAGAGTTTCCAAGGAGCAGCCAGTGGTTTTGAACAACTGACCTTGTGGTTCAAAACTGACACTGCAGTCAAGTGCTTATTCTCCAGCACCACACCAGGACTCCAATTAATTGCTTAACTAGGCCACCAGGATTAGTTATCTAACCAGTCTCCTACTAACAGATGGCTCGGTTATGTCTAGTTTTCTGCTAAGGCAAATGGTACCTCAATAAAATATCCTTACATATGCCATATCTCATAAACTCAAAGACACTATCATTTCTAAGAAGCACCATTAATTTATATGCCACCAAAAAGGGAAAAAACAAAATTTTGCCAGTAAAAACTATGACATAACATCCAAATTTCAGGAAGCTTAAAATGTGAAAAAATGTATGCCTTTGAATTAATAAAGTATACTTTATTTTTTAGTTTACCTTTATGATAAATTTCAAGAAGTACAATTACTCTTATTCAAGGGTATGCATAGTTAACATTGTGATGGCATCAATTTGCTCTTTTAAAAGGCTGCACTAAATTACATTCCCACCAACAGTATACAAGAGGATGGGACCTGAATATTTTTGATCTTCAAATCTTTTGCTAATCTGGCAGGCAAGAAATATGCTTTATTATTGATCTGTTTTATGTTTTCTTATAAATGAAGCTAATCATCTTTTCATCTTTAACAGCCAACTTATTCAAAATCCTTTGCCTATTTTTCAGTTGAGTTTTCTTGATTTTTAAGACTATTGATTTTCTTAGTCTCTATTTTATGTGGCCAGTTGTCATTTATTTATTTTACTTTCCAGATGTTTTTATAAAAATATGGTATATGTTATTCTGCTTAATGAAGAGCTATAGATGTTGGTGACATAAATTAAATGCAGATATTATGACTTTTATAATGAGTCCTGGTATGAGGCTGTAGGATAATCACTGAACTGCTAACTGCAAGGTCGGCAGTTCAAATCTACTAGCCGCTCCTCTGAAACCCTATTCAGAGTATCTGTAAGCCAGAACCATCTTGATGGCACTTAACAACAACAATATAACTGGAATAATCTTATAAAACTTAAAGACAACTGTTCAGAATAATTCAGTTTAAAATCATACTCTATGGAAAAATATGTAAAGGGCATAAATCTTGAGATTAGGTGTAAAATCATAGTCAACTAAATGAATCTCTGCAGAGATCTACTGGAAAGAAAATTTCACTGTGGGCAACTAGCATTCAGGGAGAAGACTTTCACCATATAAAGATGTGGTTATAAAATTGGTACAAGTGTGATGTTGAATTATCTCATTTTAGAGGGAGTAATTAGTAGAAGCTGGCTGAAGTATTGTGCTGATAGGGTATTGAGACCACATGAAAGTGGGTTTAGGTGGAATGGGTTTCAGGAGTGAGAGAACAGTCCCTTTTAGCCCTACTGTAGGCTATATGAGCACCTATGCTTTCTGCCTTGCCAGGAGGCTTGATTATAAAGCTTGTATAAGGTCTCTCTTCTCTTTTTAAGTAGCACTTACATTAATAAATTCTACTGATTACAAGTGACTTTTGTTGTTGTTAAGTGCCGTCGAGTCAGTTCCGACCCATAGCGACCCTGTACAGGGTTTCCGAGGGTGTAAATCTTTACGGGAGTAGAAAGCCTCATCTTTCTCCCGCGGAGCGGCTGGTAGGTTCCAACCGCTGACCTTAAGGTTCACAGCCCGATTCGTAACCACTACGCTACCAGAGCTTAACACCCAACAAAAGCAAAAGAAAAGGTAAACATCCCAAGGTTGTATCATCTGCATATCGCAGGTTGTTAATGAGTTTTTCTCCCATCCTGATGCCACGTATCTCTTCATTTAACCCAGCTTCTCAGATTATTTGCTCAGCAAACAGGTTGAATAAATATGGTGAAGATTACAACCCTGGCGCACACCTTTCCTCATTTTAAACCATTTAGTGTTCCCATGTTCCGCTCAAACAACTGCCTTTTGGTCTATGTACAGGTTCCTCTTGAGCACAATTAAGTGTTCCGGAATACACATACTTCGCAATGTTGTCCATAGCTTGTCATGATGCACTCAACCAAATGCCTTTGTGTAGTCCATAAAGCACAGGTAAACATCTTTCTGGTATTCTCTACTTTCAGCTAAGATGCATCTAATGTCAGAAATGATATCCCTCGTTCCATGTTCTCCTCTGAAACCATCTTGAATCTCTGGAAATTCTCTGTCAATGTATGTTTGCAGCCATTTCTGCATTACCTTTAGTAAAACTTTATTCACATGGGATATCAAAGATATTGTCCAATAATTTCCACATTCCGTTGGGTCACCTCTCTTTGGAATGGGCAAAAATACGGATCTCTTCCAATAAGTTGGCCAGATAGTTGTCTTCCAAATTTATTGGCATAGATGAATGAGTGCCACTTCACTTTCTTGAAAGATTCCATTTGTAATCCATCAATTCCCAGAGCCTTGTTCTTTGCCAATTCTTTCAATACACCTTGGACTTCTTCCATCAGTATCATTGGCTCTTGATCATATGCTACATCTTGAAATGGATGAACATCAATCATTTCCTTTTGGTACAGTGACTCTGTGTATTCCTTCCATCTTCTTCTGATGTTTTCAGCATCATTCAATAGTTTGCCCAATAACGAAGTTGAGGATTGAATTTTTTCCTCAGTTCCCCCAGCTTGAGAAATGCTGAGCGTGTTTTTCCCTTTTGGTTTTCTAGCTCAAGATTTTTGCATATTTCGTTATAATATTTGACTTTGTCTTCTTGAGCTGACCTTTGAAATTTTCTGTTCAGCCCTTGTACATCTTCATTTTTTTCCATTTCTTTTAGCATCTCTACGCTGGAGAGCAAGTTCCAGAGTCTTATTTGACATCCATTTTGATCTTTACCTTCTTTCTTAATGACTTTTTGCTTTCTTTCTGTATGATGTTCTTGATGTTATCCCACATCTCTTTTGGTCTTCAGTCTTTAGTGTCCAATGTATCAAATCTGTTCTTCAGTTGATCTCTAAATTCAGGAGGGACATGTTCAAGATCATATTTTTTATCTCTTGTAAACTTGTTTTCATTTTTGTCAGCTTCAGTATGAATTTGCATATGAGTAGTTGATGGTATTTTCCACAATCTTCCCCTGGCCTTGTTTTGAGCTTTTCCACCTTCTCCTTCCACAGATATAGTCAATAATTTGATTTCTGTGTATCCCATCTGGTGAGGTACATGTGTATAATCATCTCTTAAACTGTGTAAAGAAGGCATTTGAAATGAACAAATCATTGGTTTTGCAAAATTCTATCATGTTATCTCCAGCATCATTTCTATCACCAAGGCCATATTTTCCAAATACTGATCTTTCCTCTTTGTTCCCAACCTTTGCATTCCAATCACCAGTAATGATCAATACATATTGATTGCATGTTTGATCAAATTCAGATTGAAGAAGTTGGTAGATTTCTTCTATTTCATCCTTGCTGGCTTTACTGGTTAGGGCATAAATTTGAATAATAGTGGTATTAACTGGTCTTCCCTGTAGGCCCATGGATATTATCCTATCACAGGCAGCATTATACCTCATGACTGATCTTGATATGTTCTTTCA